ACAAACCAAACTCGCCAAATATGTGATATACGTTGCCATAGCGACTGGCGCAGTGATGACGTGCAATCGGCTTAGCTCAGCCAGAGCGAGGGTCGATCACTCCAGAATTTGGTCATATTCAATTGTCTTGTTGTATTCACGATGTGAAAGAACGCTGCGTTCTGTGCTATTAGTGTCGTGAACTCTTTATCAGCCTTCTCCTGTATTTCCCGAGGCTGAATGTAGCCTAGGAAATGGTTTCTCTAGGAGAAGATGATTGGTATTCGTCATCTCTCCTGAGACATTTTCAGCAAACTTTCCAAAACGTTCGACACCATGTTGTGCAAGTTTGCAAGGTTTGAGACTCTCTGTCCCTCTCCTTCCCCTCTCCCTCTCTCTTTCTCTGTCTATCTGTCTCTCATGCACACACGTGCATTTTCTCTGTCTGTCTTCATCTTTCTCTCATCCCGCCCCCCCCCCCCCTCTCTCTTTCTATCTATCTATCTATCTCTCTCTCCCCTCTTGCTCCATTTGCATCCTCCATGGCGTTTTGCGTGTCTGCATGTTGATCCCCTCACAGGTCGTGATCGTCAATAACATCAACTTCTTCGGCGTAGAACAGCATGTGAACTTCCCCACCTGTGTTCTTGTCTACTCTAACCCATAACTTGTTTCCACTAGCCCCGCTATCTCTCGTAGTTCATAAACACAAATACTCCAATCATGCCGTGGTACGCATTCCGCTGCCTCGATATGGTCCAGCGCTGTGTCGCTGGTAATGGCAGGCAAGTTAAAAGTGGCCGCGTAATACACATCCATGTGTCTGTCACATCATCCCGTGTACATTCTGCTTACCAGCTTTCCATTCCGGAGGTCGACAGTTTTTCGATGAATATTCACATCTAATTTCAAGCAAACTGCCTCATTCAGAACTGCAATTTCTGGACGAGAGAGAGAGAGTGGTATCATCTGATCACAATGATGATGACGTCATGCATATTGTCAAGAGCACCTAACCCCCAACTGTTATTATGTATGTTGTTGCGTTTTCACCCCCAGCGTTGTCGTGACAACGCAGCCTTAAGCGGGATTTACAGAAGCTTTTTTGCGGTGTGACAAAGCGATGCCGCGAAACTGGGAAATCCCCAAATCGCAGCCATCTCGCACGCCACGTAACTGCCGCATATGAGCCATCGCAGAAGTTGAGCTTGGCTGAACGTTTGCGATGCGACAAGTGATATGGCGTACGATTTTGACCTTTTTTACAGCAAAGTTGTACAAAGGTTCAAGAGTTGCATATAAATGTGTACAAGTTGTACCAACCCGCGCGATTACCATGGTGACATACTCACCTGCATTGAACTTCGTGCCAAATCAGCATGGCATCGTCACATCGCTGACTTTTTCTGTGAATGGTATTTCTCGAGTTCGCATCGCACTCGTCCGTCGCAGATCACATCGCATCGCAAAAAAAGCTTCTGTGAATCCCGTTTTAGAGACTGGGGCACTATTCGAGATAGGGCACTAATCAAGAGAGGGCTCTGATCGGTAGAGTATGGTACATGACCCATTGCCCTGGACCCAGATTCAAATTTTGCCGGGGGGGGTTGTTGTAATCGAGAAATCGTGATGCCGTACTTGAATTTTGTGCGTAGCTCGCGTCAGGTTTGAACAGCAGAACACTGCACAGGTTTTGAGCGAAAGCATTCATGTGACGATACAGGACTCTAGAAGTGAACTTTTGGGGGCATATCAGTATTTGATCCGGGTCCACTGTCCTCATGTAAACACCCACCTACTTTTTCGTGCAATGACTTTTCCGTGCGCGGAAGAGTTGAGCTCAGATCAACTTTGTCGCGACTTGACTCGCTTCTCATAAGCGAAATGAAGTATGAATCAGGGAATAGTACATGTGTTGTACTACTCCCTGGTATGAATCAGGATTACAGCCCTGGTCCTACCTCATTTCGCGTATGGGAAAGCCATCGCGTGATCATCGCGCGATGACTTTACCGTACGCGAAGTAGTTGAGCTCGGATCAATTTTTTCGTTACTCGACGCATCTTCTGTACGCGAAATGAAGTAGATATCAGGCTGAGGCTGCCTTTACACGACAATGCATGGCCAGTTTTCCGTTTCCGGTCCCGCATTTCTTTCTTTTTTTCTTTTTTGTGCGTTAACACGATCAAAGCGGATCCGAGGTGATCTCGGTTTGTATCGTTTTCGCACGTCTGCGCAGGAGCAAAGGATCCGCAAAAGTAACAATAGTTCGTCATGTGCCAAGTGTTGTCGTGGAAGCACCAATCAAACTCAAGGAATACATTGTAGTTGAAACAGGCCACATGACAGCACTTGTCATGTACGACAGCACTAGTCACATGACGAAAAATGTAAAACAATTTTTTGATCGTCCGATCCGTGTGAACGGCCGTAAATGGAACAATTGTGACGGAAAACGAGGCCAGCAGACCGTTTCGACAGACCGTTTCGACTGTTTACACACACAAATTTATCCGGCAGAACATCTCCGTTTTCAAATTCTTCCACCTTGGCCAGCGTTTACGTTTTCTTCCGTTTTGGTGTGCACCTGTTATGTTTTGCTCCTCGTACGCGTACCATGTAAATGAACCATGCATCCCAAAGGATTTTGTCGTGTTTTCACTCCCAGAGTTTTCGTGTAAACGCAGCCTTAAAGGCTGATTCATACTTCATTTCGTGTATGGGAAATTCCCAACCCGGGTCAAGCGCAATGCGTCATGTAAAAATGCCAGTGAATCCGTGATCACGGCTAGTTGAAACTCCACCCGGATGGAAATCAACCCGGGTTTAAACGCTTCATGTAAACACACCTATACTTCATCTCCTGTGCAGGAAAGTCATCGCACGATCGTTGAGCGATGACTTTCCCGTGCGCAAAATAGTTAAGCTTACATCAACTTTTCGTGATGTATTTAACGCGTTCCCGTACTTGATAATTATGAAGTATGAATCGAGCTTCAACCCGTCTGCAGTTGGAGCCTAAAGGCCGATCCATACTTTGTTTCGCGTGCGCGAAAGCCATCACGCGATGACTTTCCCGTACGCGAAATAATTGAGCTCAGATCAACTTTTTCGCGACACGACGCATTTCCAGTACAGTATCTGAAATGAAGTATGAATCTGGTTTAAAGGCTGATTCCTTCCTCATTTCGCGTGAGGTAAAGCCATCGGCCAATCGTCGCGTGATGACTATCCCCTTCGCGAAGTAGTTTTTCGCGACGCGATTCATACTTCATTTCGCGTACGGGAAAGTCTTTACACGGGGAGCCAAAATAGTTGAGTTCAAGTCAACGTTTTCGCGATGAGCCGAATTTCCTGTAGGCATAATGAAGTGTTAATCAGTCTTTTAAAGGCTGTTTCAGGGGCTACACAGGTTTTTGCACTCACATTTGTGCATTATACAATCACTCTTCCGGTTCCTTCGCCTCCCGAGAGGGTTCTACAAGAAACAGCAGAAGTTCTTGGAAAAGCGAGAACTGCTTTTTTCTTTTCTTTTTTTTACTATTGACACAGCCCTACTGGAAAACAGGTGGAGAACAAAAAGAAACGAGGTAAAGGACAAAACATAGGCTTTAAATCCTCTGTGATGTTTGGGGTCGTTCAAGACCTCGAGTGCTAGGTTGAGCCAGCAAGAGGAAATAAGTAGTCCCCAAGAGTGTGCAAATCATGCATGCCCTGCTTGCTGCCCTGACGGAATTTCCTGTGGACAGTTTGACGTTTGGCTTTCCACCAGATTTCAAGGTCCACAGCAGTACGGGTGTATTCCCACAGGTGGACACTACCACCAACAACAGGTGGACACTACCACCAACAACAGGTGGACACTACCACCAACAACAGGTGGACACTACCACCAACAACAGGTGGACACTACCACCAACAACAGGTGGACACTACCACCAACAACAGGTGGACACTACCACCAACAACAGGTGGACACTACCACCAACAACAGGTGGACACTACCACCAACAACAGGTGGACACTACCACCAACAACAGGTGGACACTACCACCAACAACAGGTGGACACTACCACCAACAACAGGTGGACACTACCACCAACAACAGGTGGACACTACCACCAACAACAGATGGACACTACCACCAACAACAGGTGGAAACTACCACCAACAACAGGTGGACACTACCACCAACAACAGGTGGAAACTACCACCAACAACAGGTGGACACTACCACCAACAACAGGTGGACACTACCACCAACAACAGGTGGACACTACCACCAACAACAGGTGGACACTACCACCAACAACAGGTGGACACTACCACCAACAACAGGTGGAAACTACCACCAACAACAGGTGGACACTACCACCAACAACAGGTGGAAACTACCACCAACAACAGGTGGACACTATCACCAACAACAGGTGGACACTACCACCAACAACAGGTGGACACTACCACCAACAACAGGTGGACACTACCACCAACAACAGGTGGAAACTACCACCAACAACAGGTGGACACTATCACCAACAACAGGTGGACACTACCACCAACAACAGGTGGACACTATCACCAACAACAGGTGGACACTACCACCAACAACAGGTGGACACTACCACCAACAACAGGTGGACACTACCACCAACAACAGGTGGACACTACCACCAACAACAGGTGGACACTACCACCAACAACAGGTGGACACTACCACCAACAACAGGTGGACACTACCACCAACAACAGGTGGACACTATCACCAACAACAGGTGGACACTACCACCAGCAACAGGTGGACACTACCACCAACAACAGGTGGACACTACCACCAACAACAGGTGGACACTACCACCAACAACAGGTGGACACTACCACCAACAACAGGTGGACACTACCACCAACAACAGGTGGACACTACCACCAACAACAGGTGGACACTACCACCAACAACAGGTGGACACTACCACCAACAACAGGTGGACACTACCACCAACAACAGGTGGACACTAACACCAACAACAGGTGGACACTACCACCAACAACAGGTGGACACTACCACCAACAACAGGTGGACACTACCACCAACAACAGGTGGACACTACCACCAACAACATTTAGAGCACGTTGCACGTCATGGCAATCACAACAGAATAGGATGGCGATGGGCATTGGGCATTGGGCAGTGCATGTACGAGCATGTGATGAAAATCAAACTAGCACGTTGCATGCACCAGCAATCAATCGTGATGGCAATCGGACATGTACATGTCGGCACAAGTACGTGATGGCATTCAATAAGGAGATAAAAACAATGATGTCATCATAATATCCTTATGATAAGATGAAGAACACACTCTCTCTCCCGTCAAGAAAGGCCAGTTTTGAAAGATGTGGTTACTATTTAGGAGGAGGGGTGGGTGGTGCTAACACTGTCGAGCCGTACGCAGCTTTCACACGTCCAAGGAAGTCACTGGTGAATTCTGTCAAGAAACAAGGCAGAATACATTGACACATCGCAAGTTATGTTAGGTTCAATGGTACAATGTACATGGTACACACATCCTTCGATTGTCCGGTCGGTTCGGGACGGGGCACTGCCCACACCTATCAAATGTCCGGAACTCCAACTCCGAATCACATACATTTTGATAGCGAAAGGCCAAAAACATGGCACATGACGTCATTAGGGAGGTTTCGCTCTACGGAATTACGTATGAAAATAACGTAGGAACTGCACGGAATTTTCATACGTAAAAATCAGAGCTGTTGGGTTTCGCTCTACGTGATTTCTCCACGACTGCTAAACATGCGTTGTTGCTTTGGAGACGCGGTGGCTGCATACGCCCATCGCATGCGACAGAAACCGCGTTTTCCATTTTATTTTGCACGTGGTGTACGGTGTGTGTACCTTGTGTTTCGCGCGGTTTGAACGTTGGCATGGACAAATCCGGAAAATGCGAGAAATATTTCAAAAAGTCCTACGGAGGACCCAACGTAGCAAACAGCTTTCCTATGGAAATCAGTAGAGAGATTTACGTATGAAAGTTGCCCTCGCTCCCCGGCGAGTACTACATACGGATTTTCATATGTAATTACGTAGAGCGAAACCTCCCTATTATCTCCACAAGAAGTGACAAAAGAGTAGTAATATTTGCACCTAAATTTGTAACGAAGGGTACCAGGTGGACTAAAACGTGGGTCAGGATAGCCGAGGTGTGACTGTGCTGCCTATTGTCTTAAAACAAGGAATAATAAACCACGTCATCGATGGGCAATGACTTTTACTTGTGAATGATGAGGATAACGGTACACGCGAAAAATGTGCTGAGTACTCGTAGAGGGAAAAATATATGAGGTGACCCTGGATGACCCCCACACGTACGCACAGCATGCTCCCTGCATATGACATTATAGCAATAAAAACTGCTTTATGGCAGTTTTCTAAAAAAAGTTATTGTGTTCTAGTCCATGGACCCCGTCTAAAAAGTAAGAAATTAACGAAATGTGATAGCCGAAAATTAAAATTTCACACAAAACCTCACAATAATCACACACAGGATGAAAAGTGAGAAGACCTTTTCCCCTCGTGGTCCTCTTTTCTATTCATGCATGTTGGCGCAGTACTCGTACAAGTCACCCGTGAAGTGTCAGACCAAGATGGACTCTTGGTCAGACTAAACAAGTGCTGAAAGCAGTATTTTTTTAAAACAAAGATCCTCAAGTGTTGTGATTATTGTGAGGTTTTGTGTGAAATTTTAATTTTCGGCTATCACATTTCGTTAATTTCTTACTTTTTAGACGGGGTCCATGGACTAGAACACAATAACTTTTTTTAGAAAACTGCCATAAAGCAGTTTTTATTGCTATAATTTCTTTTGTTTTTTTAGCTAAGGATATTATCAAGACTAGACAAGAGTCCATAAACAAGAGTGTGCAACTGTGATCTCTTTTCTATGGGCCAGATGCGCGGCGCGCTGCCTTCATTATTATCATTCAGCTGCAGTCCGCGCACTGCGGAAAATCAAACACCGCACTTAGACTTTCCCTCTGGTTTGAAATGAACTTTCGTACGGAACTAGAGTTCACGGCCTTCACGCGCCAGAATTCAGAGATCGCGTAGATACTGGAACCAAGAGTCCATAAACAGTTTATGCACTCTTGATATTATTTTATAATAATTGTGTCACCAATGGAATGCCTCTATATATATATATATGTACATGTGCATCATTATCAAATTCAATACCGTATTTTACGCATTGATGTGCAAGCCTTTCCTTGCAGAAAATGGCACTACATACATAGTCTTGCATATTCATGTTCTTCTGCAGGGGGAATCATATGGGTAGTGGCGGTGATACTTTCTTTTATACGCATGTCATTCTGTGGATGTTACTGTTGCAGAATTTCATGACTCTGTCTTAAAATTGTCTTGTCTTTCAGAAAATTCAGATGTCCACACCCTAAATCACATTTACTTGAGAATTGTAACCAGGTGCGTGCCGCTGATGTTTTTGTTGATTCTGTGTTTATAATTGTAGTCATGGGTTGTCGTGATAAGGTCATCCGGCATCATATTGTACTGAAATTGTAATCCTGTTGATGTCAATAAAATTTTTGGAAGCTGTTCAATGACTTCAAAGTGTTACAAGTCCACGATTGTCTAAAACAACACAGCAAAGTAGGAACAATAAACATGTATTAAAATGTAAACAAATACATTGTCCGACACCTCGTTCCAACAACTACACTGATCCTGAGGATATAAGGGGCAAGGATATATGGTTGGAGGTACTGAGAGATAAACAAGGCACTCCATAATAATAGAATGTTACACGACTTTGGGGGAGTATGAATGATATCCAGTCAAACCTCTTTAGGATAGCCATTGGCGGACTATGCTCGGCCAATCGTCAAATTATGCTTTTGATTATGCCACAATTATGCTGAATTATGCTCGGTTCCACTATGTATTCACGCTGTACATAGTGCATTGAGAAACCACGCACACACACGGCCATGCCCTAAGCATAATTTTTGTCTAAACCGAAAGATTATACTGACCTTACACGTTGAAATCCATATATTATGCCGGAGGACAAAGCTGTATGATGCCCTAAGCATAATTTTTTGTCTAAACCGAAAGATTATGCCGACCTTACACGTTGGAATCCGTATATGCCGGAGCATTATTTTTTGACGAAATCCCAAGATTATGCCAAAATTTTAATAATGCCGGCATAATCCGCCAAGGGCTACTTTAGGATGAACATCAAGGGACCGATGGTATCTGTTCTATGAGTTTGTCTTAACCCTATTTTATAACGAGTGAATACAATTATTTCTCCAATAGAGACACGAATAGATTTCTTCTACAGCGAAAGATTCTAAGCCAGACCAAACCATTGACTCGTCTTGTATGAAACAAATGAGTCACTGAACCTTTCTGTAGCAACATGACGGCAACTGAAACAACAGCAGAGAAAATACGATACATGCACAGCACATTCTTGCAGGTACTACAAACAGATTGCAGATCGCAATTCTTGCTCTGCCGGCACGCAACTTTATTTGGGGCAGTGCAATCTCGGCGCTACTCACAAATCAAACAGCCCAGACTCGAGTAAACAAATCCAATCGTAAGAGATTTTCACGAGACGAGACTGCACCCATTGGCTTGTTTCGTATGAAGCAAACAAGTCACTGAATGCATGAACCTCTTCATAATGGAGATTTTCGCTGATATGCGAATTTATTATGCATACTCGGCCGATGCGTCCTTGAACCTTTCCCTCCAGATTGGGAACTGCCAACGATGCTATGCCACTGCAAAATTCAGATTCTACCCTTTGATCGCAGCACGGAATGCCGGAAGCAATCATGACCAGTGCCTTCCTTGTAACGTACCAATGTACAATGAACATGAGTATTTCGACAACACATCTAAGCCTCAGCAGCAAGATAAGCCTTACCGTCAAGAAGGTGAACTCGCGTACTTCGCACACTGTTGGCAAGGGCAAGGAGATACGAGTGGATCTAAATCCGAATAAAATCAGCACACGTTTCCGTAAATGAAAGGGTGGGCATAAGCAAATGAATCGAAGGAAAGTGGTCAACTCAGAGATCACCTGTCATTGAGTATTCCGTAAAAGGAGGCCTCGACAGCAGAAAAGCTAAATTTAGAAAAGAGATAATGGCAGCTTTTCCATTATTTATTGTATTCCACCTAAACTCAGCACACACACACTTTTCGTAAATGAAAGAGTCAACACAAGCAAATGAATCAAAGGGAACTGGTCAACTCACCTGTCATTGAGTAATATTCCGTGAAAGGAGGTCTCAGCAGAGCCGAAGCGAAATAAGCCAGGACACGAAATATCCGAAACAGCTCATGCAAGAAGCAGTTCCAAAGAAGGAAGTTTCTCGCGCATGCACATCCGAAAACGGACTGCACTGCACTGCAACACAATGTCTTCCGTGCACGTGCACAGCACGCGGCTACCACTCGTTGGTAGATCTAATACCGAGCACCTTACGTAGAAACCTACGTAGCCTAAGTGAAATACCGAGCACCTTACGTAGAAACCTACGTAGCATAGCGACGTCGTTTTTTCTGCCATGTGAACACAATAATAGAAAAGCTGACAGGATCGCTTTTCTAAATTGTACGAATGCGCACATACACTTACATCAAGAGTACATAACCCCCCAGAGTGTGCAACGCCTGATCCAGCTCTGCATAGGGTCTTGGTCGAGCGGAATCGGATCTTTGCGTCATAATACCGTACACATCTGAGGGGAACCCGGGGAGTCGCGGGTACTCTTGGATCAAAAACAATGGTGCCCTGCCTCGAGACCGGCCTTGCGCTGGTGTGAAGTGTACGCATGACATCAGAAGATCCGATTCCGCTCGACCAAGACCCTACACAGAGCTGGATCGGCGTTGCACACTCTGGGGGGTTATGTACTCTTGCTTACATGTATATGAGAACACAAGCGAACAAGCACACATGCACACACAAGCAAACACACACACACACAAGAAAACACACACGCACACACATGCACACACACACACGCACACACACACGCAAACACACATGCAAACACACACGCACACACACGTACAAACACGCACACATGTGCACACGCACGCACGCACGCACAAACAAACACACACACACATGCACACGCACACACGACACACACACACAAGCACACGCACACACACACGCACACACACACACACACACACACACCAAACACCATAACCAAAGTTCTGACACAACAAGACCATGTTTGAACTGCCTTCTGCATAATTACTTACTAAAGCAGAGCGGGGCACCAGTTATCCTGTCCATCAGTGATGGATCAGCTGCGGATATGCGCAATGAATCATCTCCCGCTATAGTTTGTAGAATTACATGACCGTTGGGTTTCGGCTCCATCCAGTATTGTCTGACGGAGTAGTCGGATGGCGTGCCAGACATATAGTATCTGGGATGGATTCGAAAAGCAGGACTTGTAAGCCACTGGGTGGTGAAAATATTTCGCAATTCGTTGCTGAACGACTGGTCTTGTGCCCAAGCCTTGGCAAGCATATCCCACGATATGAGAGAGAAGCCGTTCAGTGACCGGCAAAGCTCCTCGGCCAGAGACGGGTTCATCATTGGGTCATCGGTTTTGATAAAAGCGATTTCTCCAACGGCCGGCAAGTTGGAGATCGTCCATTTGGCTGCAGAGCAGAACGAGATACGGCATGAAGGTAAGGTGCATTCCACTAATCTGAGTAGCAACAGACAGTCTTCCGATTTAGCCCTGAAACAAGAGACTTACACTAGGAATCATGGAGAAATGTGCAGAATAGCATATAGATACAGGCTGCATGTTCTCTATTGAATGGGTAGGATTGCACGAATGAAATGCACAAAGCCACTGCAGATAAGCATCTTAGCTTGACAAGCAGTGTAGGCAGCCAGACCAAACCCGGCCAGAACGAAGCCTGGCCATACCGGATTCTCCCAAGGAAAACCGCCCTTTAAACACCAGTATCCCCCCCCCCCAACAAACAAACAAATGTCGGTGTGGTTTGTACTATGGTGGTAAAATCAACGGGGATAACTAGGGTAGACGTCGGTATTTCGTGACCAAACTAATCTGGGTGTGGCCTGTACTCCGGAAAGTGCAGTATTCGAGTCTGGCTAGCCAAACCCGCTGGAAAAGAACTTAGTTTAAGTTGTACCTGTGCAAATGACATCCAGCTTGGCTGTCGATGGCAACTGCAGAATGGTGAAGCGTTGCGTAGACGGACTATATTCCAGCGCATGCAATCCCTTGTTGCCAATACTGTCAGCCAATTCACCCCACAGGCGGAGAGGCACGTCGTACGAGCGGGAGTGAATGACGTCGCTCATGAGAGGGACGAGGCAACTAGTTGTTTCCGGCGGGGCGAAAACGCTCATACTCTTCTCGTTGGTGCAGAAGGATGTTGTCCCCGCTGCCGTGAGACCTTCGCCATCATCAGTCGGCCACGTTATGTAACTGTAGACCGTGTGTAGTTGAGAAGGAACGTTGCATTGGCCTGTCATCACTGCAGTTAAACACACCAAGCAAGATATTGATCACGCACGTGATGACGTTTGTCAGATACGTGCATATCCGTGCTTCACTTGTTAGTTCAGTTTGTAGAAGTCGAAATACCTGACCGTACTTGTAAATTTATACGAGCTATGACTAACTGTCCACCAACGTAACAAGATCTTCTACAGTCTGCGAGTGCGAGTGTTGGTGGACAGTTAGCAGGCGCACTGCAAGTTGTATATGCACTTTTCAGCTCAAGCGCCAGAAAACGTCGTGTCAGGTGAGTGTTGAGTTGCATGAAATTCAAAAGATCCCGCACATGGTGCAAAAGCTGCTTGTACAGGGGTTTGCGACTTGCTCAAACATGTACTATATGGATCGCTCTAGATTTCTCGTATGTTTCCTTGACAACGTTTTACCAAAACACTTCATTTAAAGTACATGCGGGTATTTTTCACCTAGTGCGGTTGGAGCCTTAGCCGGGTCTCAAAACAATATTTGCACATAATTATAATTTGAAACTCGGATGTTGAGCCATAAATAAATGTAAAAGAGAAAAGGACATATGGATACGAGTTAAGAGTAACTCTCCATCACTGTAACATGATACTATATACAGTCAGAAAGTGCAATAACTAGGCACAAAACTGACAGAGTACTGAGACATTCGACGTCCTGACACCTAACTTCAACACATCTCCGTAGCGCTAACCAACAGCCTTCCAACTTGGAAGGTTCAAGGTTATGGAAAGACCAAAGAGGGGAAGACAAGCGCAACGAAAACGAGCAAAAGCTACAGTCCCAACGGAACAAAGAATGTCGATTGTTACTGGACGATGACGAGACCAGTACGATATTTGACAAAGCGGTCTAACTACAATTCGAAGCAGCAAAGCAGCACACCACCCAACTTGGGTGGGTCATAAATATCAAAGATAAGTAAAGAAAGGGAAGCTTTGCGAAAACGAATTGTACAAGCCGAAAGCCAAAATCCTACAGTACTCCTCATGCATGACATTGTGATGGACTAGTTGACTACAAAACAAGTTGTTTCACACGACGTACGTTTCGCCGTATGGTTCGTGACGGCTCATCAGGTGTGCAATTTGAAACTCGGATGTTGAGCCATAAATAAATGTAAAAGAGAAAAGGACATATGGATACGAGTTAAGAGTAACTCTCCATCACTGTAACATGATACTATATACAGTCAGAAAGTGCAATAACTAGGCACAAAACTGACAGAGTACTGAGACATTCGACGTCCTGACACCTAACTTCAACACATCTCCGTAGCGCTAACCGACAGCCTTCCAACTTGGAAGGTTCAAGGTTATGGAAAGACCAAAGAGGGGAAGGCAAGCGCAACGAAAACGAGCAAAAGCTACAGTCCCAACGGAACAAAGAATGTCGATTGTTACTGGACGATGACGAGACCAGTACGATATTTGACAAAGCGGTCTAACTACAATTCGAAGCAGCAAAGCAGCACACCACCCAACTTGGGTGGGTCATAAATATCAAAGATAAGTAAAGAAAGGGAAGCTTTTTTAGTTACTCTTAACTCGTATCCATATGTCCTTTTCTCTTTTACATTTATTTATGGCTCAACATCCGAGTTTCAAATTGCACACCTGATGAGCCGTCACGAACCATACGGCGAAACGTACGTCGTGTGAAACAACTTGTTTTGTAGTCAACTAGTCCATCACAATGTCATGCATGAGGAGTACTGTAGGATTTTGGCTTTCGGCTTGTACAATTCGTTTTCGCAAAGCTTCCCTTTCTTTACTTATCTTTGATATTTATGACCCACCCAAGTTGGGTGGTGTGCTGCTTTGCTGCTTCGAATTGTAGTTAGACCGCTTTGTCAAATATCGTACTGGTCTCGTCATCGTCCAGTAACAATCGACATTCTTTGTTCCGTTGGGACTGTAGCTTTTGCTCGTTTTCGTTGCGCTTGCCTTCCCCTCTTTGGTCTTTCCATAACCTTGAACCTTCCAAGTTGGAAGGCTGTCGGTTAGCGCTACGGAGATGTGTTGAAGTTAGGTGTCAGGACGTCGAATGTCTCAGTACTCTGTCAGTTTTGTGCCTAGTTATTGCACTTTCTGACTGTATATAGTATCATGTTACAGTGATGGAGAGTTACTCTTAACTCGTATCCATATGTCCTTTTCTCTTTTACAATAATTATAATTCTTATAAGAATTTCACGGATTTCTAGTCAAAACATTTACATACACATAGCTTACAAGTGGAGGATGATGATGGTGATGACGTTTGGGTAACAATATAATACCATGAGTAACTCAGCCAAATACCCCATTAGAATTAACTATAATGAGATGGTTTGATCTGTAATTGTGATCCTAGACCATATTTGGTGATTGAAGGTATGCGATTATAAACGAGGTTGGAACCGTTCTGCATCAAATCTAAGAATAAGTTGGTTTTCTATGGATCATATCAGAGACATGATAATAATAATACTAGAAAGCGAAAGCGCACAAAGCGATCGTCTTACTTTCACAGATGCCACTGACGAGCTTCATCCCTTTGCCACATGATGCAACCAAAGGCTTAATGCCGGCTGGGGCTTTCTGGTCGTGCCACTGAAGAGGCAGAGCGGGACAGTAGCGCTCCGCCTCTCGGAACCGGCACTGTCCTTTACAGGACCGTGTGTAGTACAGGCTCTTCGAGGCGGGAACAGGTGTCTGTCCACAGGTGCAGACCACACGCTGCTCTTGAGCGGCTGCAAGATCAGCGCATTTGAGCTTGTAGTCCGGGCAAAAGTCAACAACTGGGGAGAGACACAAATTGCACGGCAGTGAAACTCAGTTAGTACATACCCTAATAAGATGTGGCCTTCCACAGTACGAACATTATCTGGAGCACCGGTGCACTGGTCCAGATTGAAGTACTTTGTAATAAGTACTTTGGATACAAAATTTAATAGACTGTCCTCGTATCCAAGGGAATAGCATTTACAAGAGTTCAACTTTCACGGACGACGGTAGAGTCCAGTGACACATTGACACTGTACATTGCATATGAAACATTTTCTCCTGCGACTTACTCTTTGCCCGTTCTGCTGCCAGTTGTCGCAATACAGTTGGCTCGGCCGTTACGTTCGGGACAAAAATCAGTGGGCAAATGCGATCAAGGCGGACGGTGCTGTCAAGCAGATTTCTGGAAGGCATGGCAGATAAGTGACGAACGACGTTTTAACAGCTGGATGTGTGAACATTGCACATGATTTTCTCCAACTTCTCAAGCACAAACACGTATTTTTCCCGTGGCTATGCAGAAGACGTTACTTCAGTAACGTCTGGCACTAGCCAGGGTCCGCACAGCTTTAATTTGGTATGTATTTATTTGTTTGTTTGTGTCATGCCTGGCGCTATCCCGTATCTGTCCCGTACCGTACCTTACCATCAAACACAGCTGGCCACAAGCAGCTGGCCACAATATTCAAATAGGGCTTTTACATGCAAGATCATGACGTGAAGCAACTTGGAAGAATGAGTATGAATACAAAGTGTATTGGGGAATGCATGTAGGGCGATAGCGCAGGTTCGAATCCCAGGTTATGCCTTGATTAAAAATTTATAACATACCATATTCTTTTTTTGCTTAGGTCATCAAGGTGGTAGACGGTGTCGTATTACCCTCGACCGTATCTGTCCCGTACCGTACCATCAAAGACGGCTGGTCACAAACAGCCGGCCACGATATTCAAATAGGGCTTTAAAATTCAGGATCATAACGTGAAGCAACTTGGAAGAATTAGTATGTATGCGAAGTGTATCGGGGGATGCATGCAGGGCGATAGTGCGGGTTCAAATTCCAGGTTATGTCTTGAACATAAATAGGAGAAACGAAAAATTTATAGCATCCCTATGCATTTTTTTGCCTTGGTCATCAAGGCAAAAAAGCATAGCGTAGGGCCCTGATCTTCCAAGCTCTCTCGTAAATGTGTGAAGGTGTTTATAATTCAGAAGAAAGGATAATATGTTTACAAGTTATCCTTATTTGTTCAACACTGCCACTTATAAGCGAAAAATTGTTGAGTCAGCAGATTGCAGATTGAGTATTTAGCTCCTGCTCTTGTAGCAGTTGAGCACTCTTGTGTGGGGTAGTGCCTTTGCTGTTTGCGTTATGCAGCTCACTGAATTATCAGTTTGAGCACTCTGGCAAGGTACGTCCGGGCCTGGTTTAAATCTGGCTTCGGAACATTTATTTTTTATTGCTATCAGGTTCAGCCTCATTTTCTCTGAACTGCGCGGATGAGTCCACAAAGGAAGAAACTGTTCTGTCCGCATATTGAGTTTTGTTGAGTCATAATGCGCAACAGTGCGCGGTAATGACTGCTGTGGCACTGATATTACACGACCTGAAGTTTAGCCCCACCACGTCTGGAAAGTGTTTAGAAGGTGTTTAGCTTACATTTCCTTGAGATTTGGTAGCACTGAATTCAGAGCTGTAGGAATGGACGGTATACTGTTCAAGCTCAGGTCTCTGTGCATAGAATTTACAGAAGACAAACACAAACCATGCTATCAGATACACTCTAATCACAAATCACACTGACCAACAGTACTACATTGTAGGCTGTGGGACCATCCTGATGGGTTTTTGGTTGCGGTTAATTTTGGTATGTACAAGTAAGAAAAAGGAAGATTTATTTCACAGGTACCAAATGTCGACCCGAACACTTACAAGGAGACTAGGTTTTGACCGACACCGTTGAACACACTCAAATCCAGCTTGCTGACGGAGTTGTTGGTCAAGATCCTGTAACGGAGGATAAAAATCACAATGCAGGACAGTTCCAAGTCCAGTTCCGTTACTGTTATTTAGGTAGTACTTATGTGGCACCAGAAACATTGACAGCTTGAATTGAGCCCCTATCTTGGAAGCTATTCAATTGGTTTAATATCATCGTTGTTATCTCGACTATAAGTACTTGTTTGACGCACACAACGCACACAACTTGTACTCCATGTTTTTTTATGAATTAGTAGTGCGTAATTCAGCATCAACACTCACAATTTGTACGGCGCTCCTATCTGGGTGATGCGGCTAGTGTTTAGCAGTGCGACGTTATTGTCAGTGAGGTCGCTGTGGATACACACATACACCAAGAAGAGAAACATTACCAAAATGCCATAGAAGCAATGAATGCCAATGGTAAACCTGCTCCCATTTAAACACGTTGAACTACTAACATTCCTCATGCCACGTCAATTTCATGCAGTGATTTACTAAACATATACGGGCTGGATGATACAACGTCTGTCATCAGGCAGCATGATAGTGAATGCAGTGGACAGTGGATATGCCATGTGAGTGCCAAATTTAATATCAGATGGAATTGTCTCCTCTTTGCTTTTTTTTCTGCCATGATCTTTTGTCAGTACACGTTAAAAATAATAAAAGTTTCAAGAAGCCTGCCTTGTCTTGGAATTCGACTTGGGCAGACTACGAGGTGACTAAGGATTGCTTCTTGTATGTGGCGGAATCCTTCCACGGTTTTATCATTTTTGCTTCCATTGACGCAGGAGGCTTTCTTATGCGAGGTTGTTTGTGAACAGTAAACTCGACATTAAGGTCCCGATAATGACTCACATAGTTATTGGCTTGCGAAACATACTGCCACCCGTCCGAGGCAGCTCTGTGAAGCTGTTCTCACTCAGATCCCTGCATGGGATGGGACAGCAAAATAAACACCAAGGAGAGAATGGATTAGCCTCCGTACACATAATTGACACGATGGAGTTAAATGCCAGGCCATTGACTGCTTACTGAGCTGTGTGTATTACACGTATTGCTGTTGTGGACTTAGAAATCCGGTAGGATGACCGAGGCCGGCTCCCCCGACTTGCTCAGAGTGTACACGCAGTGTCAAAAATAAATTCTAAAAATGGACCTGCA